GTATTCCTGTGATGCAAAGCCACATTTTCGGCAGCCATTATTCCAGTCTTTAGTTATTATTATCAATGTTGAAAACATTGTGCTGCTTGGGAAACTGATGCATTTTTATTTTCAGGATGATTGGATGAATGTAAAGTTTAAAAGAACAGTATTTATTTGAAATAGAAACTTTCAGTAACATTATAAATGTCTTTATTCTAATTTTTGATCAATTTAATGTTTCCTTGTTGAATAAAACATATTAATTAAAACATCTTACTGACCCCAAACGTTTATATTTCTTTGCATCATCCCGTATTTGATTTAAGATTGTTTATTTAAACAAATTATTAAATATATAAAAATCACCAGGCTGCTGTTTCAAAGCAGTTTTCCCAATAGTCCTGATGTGCAAGACTCCCTCAGATAAACTCTTAAATGTCAAAGCTGCTCTCGAACTCTGGTGACCAATAATTCATATCCAGAGATTACAGTGCGCCCATAAGATGTGAGAGTGTGAAGAATTAGTGTCATCTCTACTCTCTGTGTGTGTGTGTGTGTGTGTGTGTGTGTGTTGGCATGTTAAGTCTCAGTCCCTTTGAGGTCTGTTCTGGATTGATGGAGTGTCACACTGCCTCTGGATCTCATGCTTGTCTCTGGTCTGCAGTTATCTCATTATAAGGCTCATGGTGTGCTGTGCCGTCTGACGGTCTCTCCGCTGGGTTCCAGGTTCCACAATCACAACAGTGTGGAATCAGAGTTGATAATCCCTGTCATCTGGATTAATTAGGACTTTCTTCTGTCATCTGATCGGCTTCATCCACAGGTTCTCTCTCTCTCTCTCGTTATCTAGTTTGTCTAAGAGTGATGTTTGCAAAGTCACGCATCACTATAATGGAGTATGCATTAGTGCATGAAGCCCTAGTATTAAAGCAACTCCTTGCCAATGACCCACAATGCCCTAAAAACCACATAGCAATGCCCTGGCAGCTGCCCACAACGTCCTAGCAACCACCTAGAACATCTTAGCAATTGCGTAGCAACTCCCTGGCAATGTGCTAGTAAATTCTACACAAGCAAACACCCTAGCCACCATCCAGAGCATCTTAGCAACTGCATAGCAACACCCTAGCTACTGCCCACAACACTCTAGTAACCACACAGAACATCTTAGCAACCACACAGCAATGCACTGGCCACTACCCACAGCACTCTAGTTGGAACCACCGAGAACATTATAGCAACATTCTTGCAACCCCATGAGAACGTCCTGGCAACCACACACAAAAACCCTAGGATGGTGCCAGTGAGTTTTACACAAGCAAACACCCTAGCAACCAGCCAGAACATCTTAGCAACTGTATAGCAACTCTCTGGCAACCACACACAACACCCTAGCAATGTGCTAGTAAATTCTATATAAACAAACACCCTATCCACCATCAAAAGCTTGTTAGCCACTGCATAGCACCCTGGCAACTTCCTAGACCACCTTAGCAATAGCAACGTCTAGAGACCACCCAGAACACCCTTGTAACTGCATAGAAACACCCTGGCAGCCACACACAACACCCTAGCAACATGCTTGTTAGTTTTTTTTTTTTTTTTTTTACAACCACCCAAAACACCTTTGCAACCATATAGATACACCCTGGCAACCACATACAACACCATAGCATCGTGCAAGTTTCACATGAGGAAAAGCACATTTACTTCATTTTGTTCTCCGGTATCATGTTCTGATGTTCTTTCATTGTATTTCCTGATCTGATCATGTGTTCCTGTGCATGTAGTTTATATCAAAACCTTACTGATTGGAAAAATATGTCATAGATGTCCTCCCACATATTATCTCTCATACGAGTCTGTGTGTGGTGCTTCTGTCTCTTTCATTAGCTGTGTGTGTGTTAATATTTTAGGCAGGTGTGTGAGGCTGTAAGGTGTGAACTCAGCGTGAACGTTAGAGTGAATATTTCAGGTGTGTGTGTATATCAGAGAGTCTCATTATATCAAACCCTCGGGCCTCAAACCTCCAACAAATTTGCTGTAGAACTACACACACACATACGCACACTGTATGCACAATGTCTGTCCTGTCCCTTTGAGAGCATCTGTCTCGCTCTCTGCTTCATTATCAGTTTCTCCCTGAATTCTGACCATCACTCACTCCAATCTAACACACCCTGAGAGAGAGAGGGGGGGAGAGAGAGTGTGTGATAGTTTTGACTGTCAGTGTGTGAAACTTTAACCTGTTTGGTGGGTGTGTCTGTGAGACAGGTTCCAGTGCGTTGTGATTGGCTGAATACCTCAAGCGTGTGACGGAAATGTTACGCCCCTTACCATACTGTGATGCCGTGTCCCGGCGCGACAAGACAAAAACAATAAAACCCACTACAAACGAGGCATTTGTTAGTGTGAGCGGCGGCCTAGAGTGAGGAACGGCTGGCGGCCGGCGGGCTTGAGAACGGCGCGGCCGGTGGATTCGACGAAGGAGCGGCCGGCGGGCTTGTGGCAACCACATGTGACGAGCCCGGGCTGGACTCCGCTTCGTCCACGGTGAAAGTCGACCCGGCGATTCACAGCGCGAAGTTGATGTACTTCCTCAGCGACCAGCATGGATCAGCTCTAGGCATGACGAAGCGGATATCGTCCTCTTTTGGAAGGCCAAACAAATTAGTTTCACTTTCACAAAGAAACACACAGCGTCTCCACGACATGGCAGCAGCGGCAACAACAATACACAGCTAGAATAAAAGTTACACCTTCTTTCTTTGCGTGAACATTTGGGAGGCATTATGCAAATCTTCCCACATAGCGACGTAGACGTGGGGGCGTGTTAGAACGAGCCGTTTTAGGTAGGCGTGGTTGACT